TTTTTTTTTTTTATGCATGATAATAATAGTACTATGTACTTTTCATGTCAATTACTATAATTTATGATATGATGACACTCTCATGAATTGCTACAGTTTAAATTATCTGATGTTAGAAATGTTAATCTGCAGCAACATCTTTTAATTGCTTTTAAGTTTTAACAGTCGAAATTCTGATTATTCTCAACAGCATTATTACATTAATGTCTGTAGAAGTCTTTTTTCCAGCTCATGAATTCATGTTTTTCTGATATCTTTTATCGACGGGAACCCTTGAAAACGTACGGCATATGTTTTTGAGCTGTTCGCCTCGTTTAGCGGCTGATCGTCTGCGAACCGAGTGATTACAATCAGATTCTTTTTTTTTTTTATCATCACAAATATATTCAAGAAGATAATATGAAGGGCACAAGGAGAATCAGAATTAATAAATTTATTCTGAACATTTACTGTCACAACTTTAACTAAACTAGGAGCTCTTGTCAAGTGTCCAGTTTTAGTTGAGTAAGTTTCTTTTATGTTATGTGGCCTTTTAAGATTTTTAGCAATGGCATTGGGGATTACTGCTAAGAGGAATATGAAATGAGTTGATTCTGATGGGATGCACTCACAAAGTGAGTGTTCTGTGTTGCTTTCAACGCTCAATGGAATTAGAATTTAAAGGCGGCAAAACGGCCCGCCGATTCTTGGTAGGGCTGACGAGTACAATCGAGCATTGACCTTGTCGAGCGCAGATCCAACTTTTTTGTTCACTGCCATGTAAAATGGTGTTCGACTCGGCTCATAAAAAAAAATGTTATGCTCGAGATCGACTCGATGCTCGAAATTGTCCGAGTTCGGCTTGAAATTTTAACTAAATTTGAAATATAAAGGTAATATTTATAATCTAAATTGACAATTTTGGCTTTGGTGTTCTAATATTGATCATTAAACTACATTTTCTCGATTGAACTGCTCGAGCTCGACTCATAAAAAATAATGAGAATGATTTTAGTACTTTGTTACTTGTCACGAGTACGATGTTTACTTCCTGATGAACAATGAGTTGCTTATTTTAAAAAACTATATTAATTACATGGTCCTAAATCTTATGATAATAAGATTTTTCTTTCTTCGAATTGATGTGGTTTCAAACCGGTTCGTCTCTCGTTCCAAATGAGTACAAGTTTATTCGGGATAGTGTATCCTCCCGACTTATTCTCGAATCAGTTTATACTAACGGGACAGGTAACATGACCATGGGCGGAGCCACCCTTAGCTAGGTTAGGGTGGGCTGTAATCCAATGTAATTTATTTATTTTTTTCTTTAGTTTAGCATTTCTTATTTTATTTGTAGTCTCATGTAAATGTTAGTCTAGCCCAAGAAGAAACCCAATAATTTATTAATTTTTCATTCTCAAAAGTATAAGAGGTTTGAGCTTTTTTTATTAAAGAAAAAAGACACAAAAATCATTGCTTATTCTAATATTTTTTTTTAACAAATTTGTTAAAAGATTTTTAATTAATGTTTGTTTTAATAGTGATGTGAAGAGATTTCTTATGTTATGTAATGATCAAGAGTTAATAGGAATTTATTTGTAACGAAAAATTTAGAAATATACTTAGTTTTAATTTATGCACAAAACTTGTTCGATGAAAGCACAATTAAACATTTAAGATAATAAAATTTAAACTCTATAGGCTAAGAATTGCATATTTGGACATGATGTAAGTCTCAATATACTTTTGTTTATAGTTTAACATGTTGTTTTTCTTCTTATTGTTTTCTATTTTATTTTGGTCGAATCATATTGAATCATTCTATTTGAAATAATATTGGTTATTCATGTAATTTATATTACATTGCATATGGATTATGTCAGTTACTTTATATTTTAATTTTATATATTTTGTTTCTTCTAGAATACCAATAGAATATTTATTTTGTAACTGAACTTATGGATTTTAATAATTTAGTTTTGACATTCATTGGATTTTTAAAATATATTTTCATTCATTTAACTTCGTAATTCATGTAAGTTGTATTGAATATTAAAAATAATTATTTTCATACTTTGGTTTCTTTATTGGCATCTAACTAAAGATGTTACTCGAGTCGAGCCAAGTCGGATATCTCATGTTCGAACTTGTGATTATTTAATAAACAAGCTTGATTAGGTATTCGAGCTTAGCCTTTTTAAGTGTATGAAATAATTGAGTTCGAGCTTTCACGAGCCGAAATAAGTTGTGTTCGTGAATAGTTTGATTCGAATAATAGCTCAATGTTACGCTCCAGAACCAAATCTCAAACCGTTCAGAACCCTATCTACCCTTAATAGCATAGGAAAATAAGATCAAGACTCTCATCAATTATAACTTCTATGAACTACTTAAAAAGGGCACAGTCGAAAATTAAATCCCTAGTAAAAGAACGGCTAAAATCGATATTAATATGGGCTAAAAATCGAAGGAATTTGCTTTCAATATCTATGTCACCACTTAGTGATATAAATTTTCACAATTCACGATCCTATTTCGAGAGGAAAATAAAAGGGAAAAAATAGCAAATCAAAATTATTAAATAAAAAAAGGTATTAAAACTGCCCAATTTTGTTTTTCTTTTCTTTATGAAGGGAAAATTAGAATGAGTTAATATGAACAAACACACACAATAAAATAAAATAAAAATAAATAAATAAATAAATAAATAAATAAAATTAATAAATAAAAAAAGCTAACAAGGCTTGAATATTCCTCCATCCTTCGATAGTTTTCCTTGAATATTAAAGAGTTGGTCAATGGAAACTTAACAACAAAATCGGCTTATCGTGCGTTGAAGCAGCCCGAGCCTGAGCATGCGTCGACTATATGGCGGCTGATTTGGAGATGGCTGGGACCTCAGCGCGTACGGCTTTTCCTCTGGTTGGCAGCTCGGGAGAGTTTGTTGACCAACGTGAACCGGGTGAGGCGCCGTTTGTCGTCTTTCT